GTTGACAAGGCTTTTCCTGAGGCAAGACCTTGTGCATCTGCTTCATGATCTAGTCATGTATTGCTCAGGAATACTCAGATTTTGGTAGTGTCCCCAAATATTGTTGCTCTACCAGGGATGCATACACACAGCTAACATCAGCAAAGCTTTTTCTGTAGTTAGACTTAGTTCTTGTCTTTTTCCTTGCCAGATCTTGTTTGGGCTTTTAGTGTGGCTATTGTGTAGACCCTGTAAAAGTACCTTTGATCTTCATTGATCAGTTAAGAGTACATATATTGCCAGATTCTGCTAGGCTCTAATCTACCCTGAGGATGTTTGAATGCATAACAAGGACTAAAAATACTTTATCAATGTTAACTTTGGCCCCAGTCTGTTACTGAGGAATGGTACATCTGTCCATTATAAATATTTGGAAGTACCATGTCTATATGACTTGGTGTGGAATTTGTGGAAATTTAGATCAGATTGATTTTTACACCTTGTTATTGATGGCTTTTCATGCATATTTGGGATTATGCATGGTTACATGCCAGCTGTTGATTCTTCAGTTGCATATTTCAAACAAGGTATACAGCAGTGATAGTGGTATATAAGAAACTTGTGCAGTGATAGAAAACTTATTAAGGAATGTTTGACCTACCCGAGGCTTCATCAATCCAAAGTGGACTGATAAAATCCCTGGTGGATGAAATGTTTCCCTAATAAAGTTACCTAACATTACACGTCTTTTTTTTTTTTTTTAACCACAGGTGCATAGTATGAATTAAGTGTTCAGGGTCCTTCCTAGCAGTGACTACCTTGAGCCGTGTTCTATGGCCAAGTGTGGGACTTTTTTAAGGGCTCACAATAAGAGATTCCTGCAAATCACATCCAGGCAAATAATACAGGTCTCCCTCAACATTCATGTTTTCCACTTTCACAGGCTTCGAACATTCGCGAATTCCCAGCCGCCCAATCATATTTAAAATATGTCATTACATATCTTAGGAATTGTGGCGTTTGCAGAGTTTGTTTGGAGATAGGACAAAATAGTCCTTCAATATGACACTAATGTCAAGTCTGTGGCTTATTTAACTATCACAATTTATCTAATATGACATAATAAACAATATTAATAACATAGAAACATGACATATACTCTAGAATGAATAAAATGCGTCATTAAGTATGTCACAAGTGTTGCTGTGTTGTTGTTGTTGGGTGTATAAGGGCCACTGAGAGAATAAGCCTTACATAGTGGTGGTGGAGGCGACATCAGAGGTGGTAGAGACTAGAGATGGCGGTGTTGTCAGTCGCCCTATATAACTCCAACAACATTGGAGGAGTTAGGTTCATGCTGTTCTTTTTCTATCGATCAAATGCTTAACTTACTTGCTACACTGTTAATGCTACACTTTATTGCTGGCTGGCACTATAGCCTTTATCAACTTGTGCTGCTTTAGTATCATACATATCGTAGAATCACTGAATAAGGCACATTCTCCCCTCTCTCTTCCTCCTCCACTTTGGTACTCTGCTACGAGTTCTTTCTTGAATTCTATAGTTTTTATCACCTTCTTTACCAAAGGGTTGGCAATAGTACAATATTTCATGATGTTTTCATGTGTTTTATGATTGTTCATGGTTTAATGGGTTAAGGAAGCAGTATTGTATTATATTTCCCTACAATATATTGGGGCACCAAACATTCGCAATTTTTCAACATTCACGAGGTTCTTGATCCCCTAACCCTTGCGAATGTTGAGGGAGACCTGTAATAATATCTATTTCTACAAGTACATGTACAGGGTATATAGGTCTAGCTGACATCTTAGAAAGCCGCTTGTTATGCAGAGCATTTCAGGGAAATTAGGTCAGTTTTGTCCCAGGGTGCGACCTACACCAGTCGACTAACGCCCAGGTACCCATTTTACCGGTGTAAGGAAACATGCCCAATGTTTCTACCCTCACCAGGAATCGAACCAAGACACTCTGTGTGAAGCGAGAGCTTAGCCACCAGGCCACGGTGTATAGCATATTAATTTTTGCATCCAAGGTGATGAGTTGTATGGCAAATTTATTTGAAATTCCCTGATCTTTGGTCAAGTCCCTGTCTTTGTCTTGGCTTCTGAATCCCACTTCCCTTCTATTTTCCTCCTTGCAAGTGATTCTGAGAAAAGAATGTGTAGGGTAAAATGTAAGAAATTGGAATAAGAATGTTTAAACACACGAGGTATGTTAGATGAAGCAGCAAGAGCCATGCTGTGTCATGCTTGCAGCTGTAACTACAATCTTGATTTTGGTAATTAGAGATTGGTGTTTAAATCTGATAATTACTTTATATAGATATTGAGGAATCAAATCTGACTGCATTATATTTAGACTATTTTGAAAGAAGATTTAATGTTAACAGATGTCCAAGGCAGTGGTTACCACTACAAAATGCCTGGCAATGAAATTGTTTGTGGCAGTCGAATCATGTCTTGTAGTAGTTTTAACTCTTACATTTCCTTTCTCATGCCAGAAGTCATGTAACCTGGTGAAATAATAATGATTCTTTGTTTTTGTTACACTAGTTTTTTTTTTTTATCATACATAAATTTCTTGAAGGTACTGTATTATTATTAACATTATTAGTATAATACAGCCTGTCCTCACTTAGCGATGTACTCGTTTACCAACAACTTGGACTTACGGCAGGCTCTCTGACCAGTATACATACTTAAATAATGTATATTAGAGCTGCTTTCCTCTATTCTGTTTATTACAATATACAGTACACTACTGTATAAACGGTTAAAAATATACTAAAAATGTCATAGATGGTGCAATGGTGACATAAAGCAATATCAAAGATGGTTGACATAAACCCACTACCATTATAGTATGTTCCTCGTTTAGTGACAAATTCGTTTATCGACGAGGTATTAGGAACGGAACTCCGTCATTAAGTGAGGAGAGGCTGTATTGTTGTAATAATTAATACGCTGTGAACTTTTCTTACTGGTATATATTGTAATCTCTAAATTAACCTCATGAGGAATTCTGTCAAAATCTATTTTAAAATCTGTGCTATAATGCTATAAGCCCCTTGTGAGTTTAGTGCTTAGTTATGATTGTAATAATTGTAATTATCTAAAATCTAAGTGAATGCAGTTTGCCAACCCATTACATTCTTGTAAATAGTCTCTCTAACTCATTTACAATAACTCAGTAAATCAAACTACAGTGGACCCCCGCATACCGTTGGCATCACATACCATTTATTCCACATACCGCTCACTTTAATCGCAAAAATTTTGCCTCGCATACCGCTCAAAAACCCGCTCACCGCTGTTCGTCCGAGACGCGTCCAATGTGCGCCTTAGCCAGCCTCACATGTTCCGCCGGTGGCATTGTTTACCAGCCAGCCTCCGCGGTAGCATCCAAGCATACAATCGTAACATTTCGTATTATTACAGTGTTTTTGGTGATTTTATCTGGAAAATAAGTGACCATGGGCCCCAAGAAAGCTTCTAGTGCCAACCCTACAGCAATAAGGGTGAGAATTACTATAGAGATGAAGAAAAAGATCATTGATAAGTATGAAAGTGGAGTGCGTGTCTCTGAGCTGGCCAGGTTGTATAATGAACCCCAATCAACCATCGCTACTATTGGTGGTACAGCTGCTGCTGCTGCTGCACTGTCAGCTGCTGCTGCTGCTGCTGCTGTAGCATCGTCTGCTGCTGCTGTAGCACTGTCAGCTGCTGCTGTAGCATCGTCTGCTGCTGCTGTAGCATCGTCTGCTGCTGCTGTAGCACTGTCAGCTGCTGCTGCTGCTGCTGCTGTAGCATCGTCTGCTGCTGCTGTAGCATCGTCTGCTGCTGCTGTAGCATCGTCTGCTGCTGCTGTAGCACTGTCAGCTGCTGCTGCTGCTGCTGCTGTAGCATCGTCTGCTGCTGCTGTAGCACTGTTGTTGGTGTGGCTTATTGAGAATATACCAAGAAACAATTAACCCCAGAGGATTTTCCACCCAGGATAACCCAAAAAAGTCAGTGTCATCGAAGACTGTCTAACTTATTTCCATTGGGGTCCTTAATCTTGTCTCCCAGGATGCAACCCACACCAGTCGACTAACACCCAGGTGAACAGGGAAAAATGCCTGGAACTAGTGCTCATATTGGTGAATTTAAAGCCAGCAAAGGTTGGTTTGAGAGATTTAAGAATCGTAGTGACATACACAGTGTGATAAGGCCTGTTCTGGAAGAAAATGCCAAACAGGACCTACAGTACTCAGGAGGAAAAGGCACTCCCAGGACACAGTGTCTCATCAGTCATTGCTGCATCTTCAATAAAGGTAAGTGTCATTTATTCTTCATTTAGTAGACTAGTACATGCACAATATATACTGTGCATGTACTACTCTACTATTGTGCATGTATCCTTCTCTTTGTGTGTAGGAAAATGTATATTTCATGTGGTAAAATTTTTTTTTCATACTTTTGGGTGTCTTGCACGGATTAATTTGATTTCCATTATTTCTTATGGGGAAAATTCATTCGCATACCGATTATTTCGCATACCAATGAGCCCTCTTGCACGGATTAAAATCGGTATGCGGGGGTCCACTGTACTTATCATTTAGAAAACTTCTTATCCTCCAAATGTATTATCGGCTCTTAATTAATGACATTCTCCAGCATTTTAACGTATTAAAGAGAAACCCTCCTCCTTTTAAATATTAGTTTCCTATCATTTTGGGCAATAAGTCTTATGGCAGTGTTTCACAGCATGGGTGGCACCAGAATTTTTATACTCAGGGTACTTACAAGTGGCAATGTGATTGGAAGGGGGGGGCTAGGAGACTTCTTCTGAAACATTTTTATTACGTATTATGTATTTTTACGTATTTTTATTTGTGGGAGCTTTGGGAAGCTGATGAAATTTTGGGGGTCTGAGGCCCCCAAGCACATAAACCTTTACTTATGTGCTTGACATAACTATAGTTTTTAATATCATGGGAACTTATTACTCCTTTACAGGTATCCTTAATGCCAAGGACTAATGTTAAACCTTTGACTAGAGAGCAAGAAGAACTGATTCACACACTAGTCTACTATCAAGAGGAGTTTGAGCAGCCTTCAGAGGAAGACCTAAAGAAAATCAAAGTAAGTTTGTAAATGCCCTCTTTATTTAATTAAAAAATCTGTGGCATTTAAATATATTGCTGTATTTTTAAAAACTTACGTTTTCAGTTTATATATGGTAGTTGGCAGTCACTGATGTGCACAGGAAAAGAAATTTCATAAAATATCTTCATCAGTTAAGAAAATTATTCTGGCAGTTGTGCAGCCAATCTTAATACAAAATTCATTGAAGTACTTAAATATTTGGCACAAAATTGTATGAAATTGAAGAACATAGAAAACACACACACACACAAAAAAAATTTAATTTATTTCTTAAAAAATAATGAGAGTTTTTGAAAACCACCTTACATAGTATATATTATTGCTTTTTGATCTAGAAATATGTTGCATATCTAAATCCTCTAATAAAAAATTAGTTACTATATTAACTTAACAAGGCCTGGAGGAAGCTAGTATTTAATTCATTTCCATCTATTCCTCTAGAAAATAAACATGCCATTCCATCCAGAAAAAATGAAGAAGGCTAATACACCACCACTATTATAAATTTAATATGTAATCTCATTACTATACCTTAAATTCTTGATTTTTCTTGCTTATTGATGATTATGTAGCCTAATTGAACAGTAGACAGCTGTGGGTCACCTGTTTTATTAGCTAACATCATTCATACCTTTCACTGTATACTATACAATGAAGAATTTTATCCTACTCATAATTCCTTGTTCTCTTGCTTGTTGATGAAGAAGTGTGTGAATTTGGTTATGTGACCACCCAAAAAAAAAGATGGATGTGCGGCATCTGTTATCAGCTGACAGCTATGGATCAGTTGTCTGTTGAGGTTAAGAGAACCACTACAGCATACACTGTGTGGAAAAAAGACACTTATGTACAGTTCAGGATATTTATTAAAGGAAATGTTTTGCCACAATTGGCTTCTTCAGTCCTAATACAGAGATAACTAAGACCAAGTATATATAGTGGCAGGAGTCAGGTGGTAGTAGTAGTAGTAGTAGAAACACAGCTGTGGTAAGGTGGGTTGGGTTTGACAAGGACCTGTTAACAGTGTTACAATGGTCTCCAGACTGGGCAATATCTTGTTGGTCAACAATTTGGATAGTGTTATGTCTAGATTTTTGATGGATTGTTTTACTGATGGCAATTGAGGCAGTCTCTATACTCTTCTCGTTGTAGGTCTTCCTCTTTAATGATTAACCAAGCCTCACTGAATGCAATTCAAGGATGAGAGGGGTAGTGAGTGAATGGGCAAGAGGGCAAGCGAAAGAGAATGTATGTATGTGTGTGTGTGTCAGTCAAATGAGGAACATAAATTCCAAAGCTGTGGTAAACATTTTCATTAAAAATTCAAACAGCTTCATGTACTATTCACACATTTTGAAGTTTCAATCTCTTTCATTAAGTGGTACATATGTATGACAAATACATTGCATAGTAAAGCTTTGGTACATTGTTCATTATATTGTTTTTTCATTGTCCAAGGATTGTGGGCATATTCTTGTATGCCTATTAGCCTGGAAAAAATGCCCCTCTATTTACATGCAGCTTAGATTAAAAAGTGTACATTTTAAAATTTTGTATGTAGTATACCATACTGTAACTCAAATATTCATACAGTATTGTACAGATTTATTTGATTTTTAGAGCATTTACTTTTAAAATACATTTTATGATTGAATATTGTTCTGTTTATTTGATGGTCACAGATGTGGTGCTCACATAGTTCTAAGAAATGTAACCCCCACTAAAATCATTGCTGTAATGTGTACAAGTTTATTTTTTATAGTTAGGGGTATAGTATACAGATGAAAATTTTGCATTCAAAATAATCACTTAACCTTTAGTTGACTTATCTAAATCATTTATATTCATGCTTGTTTATTAAAGTCAGCAGTTCTTCAACACTTACTCAACTTGTGTATTTTATCTTTTAATAAATGACTATGTATCCTGTAGTAGTGGTTTTTCAGTATATTGTACACTTTGTTCAGAGTAAAATCTTGACCTCTGCCCAGGAAAGTAGCAACACTACATCAGTAGATTAAAGATTATTGGGCAGAAACTTTAGGAACTAGATGCAAAGGCAAATTGCCAACACAGTGATGAAAAGATGCAGGTTAAGAACAAGCTTTTATTGTGTCAACATCTTTCTTTATATATTCAGTGATTTGATAAAGCAAAACATTGTGTCAATAAAAGTTTGCTCTATATGTCTTTTCTTCATTGCTAAGATATTTAGAGTATGCTTCACAGTTATTACCAGGAATTCAGTTCATTCTTTGGTGTGTGATACAAGTATAATTCATCCCCTGGTTTAGGTTTTAACCCGTAAACGGTCCAAACGTATATATACGTTTTTTCAACATTTGAAAGTGTATGTAAAAAAAGTAGATCTTCTTTTTGTTTTTTTACATTTGAAAATGCGTAAAAAAAACTTTGATCTACTTTTTTTTTTTGTTATATTTGAAAATATGTAAAAAAAACATAATCTACTTTTGTAGCACTACATATGTGAATGTAGATCTGCTTGGACCGTTTACAGGTTAAGACTGGTAGTGTACCACAGAAAAGGACATTAGCAATTTGTCAGATAGAAATTTTGTCATAAAAATATTTTAAACATTTATTGAGCAAAATTTAAGCTTCTTTGTGCTGTACTGTATATGGTATTAAGAAATATAACAGTTGGTCCTTATCTTAAACATAATATACAGGATGACTTCATGTTCGGAGGTCTCGTTACCAAAAACACCCAACTATAGAAAAAATAACAAACATCTCACTTTCTAACTCTGTGTCTGGCTCATCGATAACCCCCACACACCTCCCCCTTAGTTATAAAGCAATGCTGTAATTCTTCAGTAATAGCTGAATAGAAGTGTTTTTCCTCTATTTTTTATAATATATTTATTTACTACATGTACATGGTATACAGGCCTAGCTGACATCACTGACATACAGCGGACCCCCCAGATTACGTTGTCATTGGAATTCATAATATTCGCAATAAGCAACGTTTTTTTCATCAAAATATTAGCTCGGTGATTGTCATTGAACTTGGTTTTAGTCATTCGTCCTAAACGTGTCCGCACGGCCCGACACACTATTTACAGCCAGTGTGCCACTGTTTATCAGCCAGTGAGGACAATCCCACATGTTCATACCATATATTTTTTATTATTCCATTCTTTTTAGTGCTTGCAACTGCTAAATAAGCCACCATGGGCCCAAAGAAAGTTTCTAGTGCCAGCCAGCCCTTTGGTAAAGGGCTGAGAGAGAGGGCAGAATGTGCCTTTTTCAGTGATTCTGCAAGATGTATGATACTAAAGCAGCAGGAGTCAATAAAGGCTATATTATAATTATTATAATCAAAAAGAAGCGCTAAACCAATAAAGGCTATAGCGTCAGCCAGCGATAAAGTGTAGCAAGTAAAGCGATTAATCGATAGAAAAAGAACAGCATGAAACTGACACCTCCATTGTTGTTGGAGGTATATAGGGCTACTGACTAATACTGCTGCCTTCATCACCACTATGTAAGGCTTATCTATCAGTGGCCCTTATACACCCAACAACAAACACACCACACCACCACTCGTGACATTCTTAATGCCATATTTTATTCATTCTAGAGTATATATCATGTTTCTTTGTTATTAATATTGTTTATGTCAGATGCAAGATAAATAAGCTGTAGAGCTTGTATTAGTGTCATATTGAAGGACTATCTTGTCTCCCAACACAATTCCTAACATACGCCAGAAACAGACCTCTCTGGAACACTTTTTTGAGTGACAGGGGTCTAGTGACTCTCAAGCTGGTCCTAGTGGCATTAAAAATCACAGAAGGGAAGTAACCCAGGATAAGGACTTGGTACCTGAAGTCTTTATGGAAGGGGTTTCCCCTTGCAAACTCCTCCAGTCTTCCATACATCACCATGTCTTCAATAAAGGTAAGTGTGATGTTATTGTTTTATTCTTTATGTATCATTGTTTTCTGTGTAGGTAAATGTATATTTCACGTAGAAAACATTTTTTTAATACTTTTGGGTGTCTGAAACGGATTAATTGGATTTACATTATTTCTTCTGGGGAAAATTAATTTGGAATTCGTCAGATTCGGGTTTAGTCATTCTCTCCAGAAGGGATTAATTGTGAAAACCGAGGGTCCATTGTACTACTATATAGAAAGGAAGGGGTAGCAGTAATGTTGAATGATCAGTTATGGAAGGAGAAAAGAGAATATGAATGTGTAAATTCAAGAATTATGTGGATTAAAGTAAAGGTTGGATGCGAAAAGTGGGTCATAATAAGCGTGTATGCACCTGGAGAAGAGAGGAATGCAGAGGAGAGAGAGAGATTTTGGGAGATGTTAAGTGAATGTATAGGAGCCTTTGAACCAAGTGAGAGAGTAATTGTGGTAGGGGACCTGAATGCTAAAGTAGGAGAAACTTTTAGAGAGGGTGTGGTAGGTAAGTTTGGGGTACCAGGTGTAAATGATAATGGGAGCCCTTTGATTGAACTTTGTATAGAAAGGGGTTTAGTTATAGGTAATACATATTTTAAGAAAAAGAGGATAAATAAGTATACAAGATATGATGTAGGGCGAAATGACAGTAGTTTGTTGGATTATGTATTGGTAGATAAAAGACTGTTGAGTAGACTTCAGGATGTACATGTTTATAGAGGGGCCACATATATATCAGATCACTTTCTAGTTGTAGCTACACTGAGAGTAAAAGGTAGATGGGATACAAGGAGAATAGAAGCATCAGGGAAGAGAGAGGTGAAGGTTTATAAACTAAAAGAGGAGGCAGTTAGGGTAAGATATAAAAAGCTATTGGAGGATAGATGGGCTAATGAGAGCATAGGCAATGGGGTCGAAGAGGTATGGGGTAGGTTTAAAAATGTAGTGTTAGAGTGTTCAGCAGAAGTTTGTGGTTACAGGAAAGTGGGTGCGGGAGGGAAGAGGAGCGATTGGTGGAATGATGATGTGAAGAGA